GGGGTCCAAGATTATCTTCTGTGTCTGTATTAATTGGTTTCCCTTTTCTTTGTTGAAGAGGGTCTGTGCAATCCTTCTGCCTAGTCTGCCATCTTCCATTAGTAGACTCGTTTGTCTTTTTAATGTATTGCAAAAGCAAAACAGACATACTTCACACATAGTAGGTTTCAAATTTGCACCTAATAGTGCCTTGCACAATGCCTGTTCAGAGAAAATGGGTGCTTTTTTAACAGTAAGTCCCAACACACCCTTTTGGTAGAGTGGTCCTAGGTCCTGCTTGGCCAAGAACAGTTTAGGCTTATGTCAGACTGCCTGGGAAAATTTATTAATAGTGTACTCGTTCACTCTCAAAAGTGTCCTGATTTCCATGATGAATTAACTCTATTTTTGGAGTCCCAAAACGTTAAAGGCTCAGGTACACCCAGAAGCATCTCAGAAGAAAAGGCCTAGCAGTCTAGTTTTAAAAATTCAGCTATTGAAAACCCTGTGGAGTAGAGTCCTACTCTGACACACGTGGGGTTGCCAGGAGTCATAGGTGATTGATGGCGACTGCTAACCCTATTCTCGGGTAATGTCTCTGGAAGGGACCCTTATTGCTTCCTATTTGAGATTGTGCAATCTTTATAGTGGTGAGGTTGGAAAGAAATCTTGAATCTAATTTCTGCCTCTATCAACCCATTCCCTCTACTCCCCACCCTGGGGGGGGGGGAATCCCGGATAAATCTGCAGAAGGGACAACCAGGGAACACAACCCTGAGCTCTGGAATAAGACTCTAGAAAACTAGATGCTATCCCCAGCTCTGTCCCAAACAAGCTGTGCAGCTTCTGATAAGGTGCCCACTTCTCTAGGTCTCAAGAGTCCTCATCTGTGAAGCAAGAGAGCTCAGCCAGATGGCTTCTAAGATCTCTCCCAGTTCTAGGTAACTCCCAAAGGAGTTTCCGGAAGTCAACAATATATGGCAGCTCCCAGGAACTCCTACTTGCCCCTGAGAATCACAGCCAACCCCAGCGCCACATAGAACAGTTCTCTGTCCTAGGGTGGACCACCTTAGTAGGCTTATTAAACACACCAAGCTCTTAGAGCTAGTCCACAGCTGCGCGAATACCCGATTATGGCAGCAGCTAATCTCTGGACAAACAGAGGTGTCCCTTTGCTGCCCCATCTAACAACCCACTCACTAGGTGGGCTAGGTCCCAGGGGGCTCTGCTCCAACTAGTTCCAGCCCGACCCCAAGACTGGGAAACCCAAGGCCTCCCAGGCAAACGGATAGTAAAAAGCTGGCATAAGCTTGTTTGTTTAGGGTTTTTTTTTTTTTTTTTTTTTTACCTTGACCTCCTTCTCCCAGCCCTTCCTGGGCGTAGGAACGCGTCTCTGCTCTTCCACAGGTTGGGAAGGTCCACAACCCATCCTGCGCGCGGCGCGCCGTGCGCGGCGCGTTGCGCCTCTGTCGGGTTTCGCCGTGTGTCCCTCCGCTGTTAGGGTCCTGCGCCCCCTACTCTGGTATATCCCCGCTATCCTGTGCCCTTGGGCTCCAGCGGCTCCCTCCGCTATCACCTTCCGCACTTAAAGGCTAGGCAGGAGGCGCTGAGCATTTAGACAGTTGCCGGGAACTGTTGCCACAACAAAGCAATAATAAATAGTAAAAACACCAAACCACTCTGACCTGGGACCTGGGAGACGATGGAACTTTTGTAACTGAAAACTAAGAAGCTGAAGGCGTCTAAATCACAACTGTGATGCAAATTCCATGCCTCTCCAGAGCGAAGAGAAGGGAGAGTACGATGGTTGACTGAGTTCCTTTTAAAAGTACAGCAGTCTTAGGCATCCTGCGGAGACTTCATTTTGGTAAGGCACCATTGGGACACGCCCCCGCCTCCGATGCCTTGGCCATGCTCTCTAGTCGCTAGGTTTTGTTGGACTGTGTGGAAGTTGATTCTGTGGAAGGCGACACAGGAGTCCATTTGGCGAAGACTGCTCCTGAGGGCAGGTAGGAAGTGGGGGCGGCCTGGACAGTACCAGCGGCAGTGTGATAGGGCAACCCTGGAAAGGACGCGCAAACAAACGGAAACCCAGAGCTGAGGTAATCTAGACATTCAAGACCATAAATGATGCAAATGATTATTATGGGAGATGCAAAGTATGAGTTGTTATGCTGTGAGGAAAGAACATGGACGTGCGTATTCTCTTAAAGGATTAAATAAAAACAATGTAAACTATCAAAAAAGGCAGATCAAGCAGACTGCCCAAATGACCAAGTTTGTCTCTCCTGGATTTTTCCTTTTAATCCTATTTTGGAAAAAAAAATTAAATGAAGGAGTGCTGAAAGGGGTCTTAGTGATCATCTGTTAACCCCTCGGTTTATAAAATGCAATGTTGAGTGACTTTAACAAGATCTGAAAGCTAATCAATCAGGAAGCTGGGATGAGGAAACTTGTGATCCTCCTACTTATAGTCCATGTTTCCACAGCACCAGAAAATACAACTCAGCACTCTTGGATGTGAAAATATCCTGGATCCTTTGAAAGAGACCAGTGGTCAGCTCTGGGACACGAAGCTGATATTTTCTTCATAGCATTTAAGCACACTTTACTCTTCCTCCTTTTGACTGCTTGGATGCTGTTGCTTGTCATTTTTTTTTTCCTTTTATTTGAGGAAAAGGCAAGAAGAGAAGAAACTCCTATCACAGTATTATAATTATTGAAAGAAGGCTAAAATAGTGTTTGGGGGAACATCTGTGAAAGTATTAATTCATGGGTGTAACAAGCCGAGTGAAATGTTCTCACTAGAAACTGGAAAATTCTCAACCAGAATAATCCAACACAAAGAACACCTTTGAAATATTCTTTAGAAAGTTCAATGAAAGTTTGTAGAATGTACTGTAAGAGTGAAATATGACAGGTAATTTTTTTTTTTTTTTTTTCCTTTTAAGGAAATCTGTGAACAGGTGTTTAGTGGGACATGAGGGATAGTACCCTTTTCAGTTCTCTAGTGCTGCTCTGGGAGCTCTGGTAGCATAGTGGCTAAAGCACTTGACTGCTAACCAGGAGGCTGGCGGTTCAAACCCACCAGCCACTCCTCAGAAGGAAGGTTGGGCAATCCTACTTCCGTAGTGATACTGCCTCAGAAACCCAAGGAGGGGTCGCTATGAGTCAGGGCCGACTCGACGGCACATAACAACAACAACAACAACAGTGCTACTCTAACAGAAAATGCCACAAATGGGTGGCTTCAACCAACAGGGATTTATTATCTTACAGTTGAGGAGGCTAGAAGTCTGAGTTCAAAGTGCCAGCTCTAGGGACTGGATAAAAGCCCCTTGACTTTGGGCTTCAGCTCTACCTTTTGCTCTTGGTCCACTGAAGCTGGAGGCTTCTCTTAACTCAGGCATCTGCTGTCTTCTGAGGTTGACAAACTCAAGATTGACAAAATAGTGCAGTCCCAAGATTACCAAACAACACAGGAAACCACTAGTTCAAGTCGAGACAGTCCCAAGATCAGCAGGAAACATGGCAGGCTGCTGAATGAAGACTTAGCTACATGCAGAGTCCAAGCATGCCAAAAAGCTAGAGACCTTCCTCAAACCTGCCTCTTATATACTAGAAGCAGACCACATCCTTAAAGCAGCTACTCAGCTGCTCTAATAGTTTCCACCATGGAGTTGCTTATCAGTCTCATCATGGGGAATAACTACATCCAACTGCCCCAGCCTCTCAAAACCAGGCCCAGCCAAGTTGGCACATAACTACCACAATACCCAAATGTATTATGCACTTATCTACTACAGCATCCTATATCTGCAGCCAAAGAGTTTAAAAGTGCCCTTGTACATGGGTGTGCTAGAGTCCACTCATAATGGCAACAAGAGCCTACTGTCACATTTTTTGGAATATCTGGACTCAGTTTTTAAACACAGTCATTATTAAAAATTAAATTATACCAACTTTCCAATAAATTAGCTATATTAAAAGTATGGTAATAATTATTAAAAATGTATCACTTCCAAAGTATTTTATTATGTTTTACAATTATTTATGCTCTTAAACCTAATGCTGTCTATTGCTGTCTACTGCATCTGTATGGTGGAAATACCATATAATTGTGTGCCACTGAGCATCTCTATCAACTTCATATTCAGGGACATCATTTTGTGTGATGTATGTATACCTTATGTATCAATTTGGCTAAGCTATGGTGCCCACTTGTTTGGTCAAAAACTAGTCCAGATGTTGCTGTGAAGGTATCTTGCTCGTGTAATTAACATTTAAATCAGTTGACCTTATCTAAAACAGATTATCTTCTATAATGTGGGTGGGCTTCATCCAATCAGTTGAAAGCCTTAAGAACAACAATTGAGTTTTCTTGAGGGAGAAGGTTCTGGCTCAGACTGTAAATAGATACTCTGCCTGGCCAACCAATTTCAGACACAAGACGCTTGGAGTTTCCAGTCAATCACTTGACTCATGGATTTTGGATTTGCAGCCCCTACAATTAATATAGGTAGCATAGTGCCTAAGGCACTTGACTGCTAACCAGAAGGCTGGCAGTTCAAGCTCATCAGCCACTCCTCGGAAGGAAAGTTGGGCAATCTACTTCTGTAGTGATACTGCCTCTGCAACCCAAGGAGGGGTCACTATGAGTTGGGGCTGACTTGATGGCACATAACAACAAATAACAACAACAACAATTGATATGTGTTGTAAATCCAAATCTCTAGTCATGTGGATATAATCTCACCTGGGAATAGAGTTTTGTTTATTATGTTCATGAGGCTAGTGCAGTGTGTCTTAAACTAATCACTTTTGAAATATAAAAAGATCAGCTTAGGCTGGACAAGCAAGGACAAGCTAGGGAAGGTTGATGCCATGTGGATATTACCAAGGAACAAAAACTGAAAAGAGACAAGGACCTTTCCCCAGAGCTGAAAGAGAGAAAGCCTTCCCCTAAAGCTGGTGCCCTGAACTCAGACTTCCAGCCTCCTAACTGAGAAAATAAATTTCTGTTCACTAAAGCTTGTGATATTTCTGTTATAGCAGCCCTAAGAAATTAAGACTTACTGGTTCTGTTTCTCTGGAGAACTCTTGACTAAGACACATTGGTAGTTTGAAATCAGCCATGGTGGGATACGTGCACCATGAAATCAGCAAATTAGGGTTTCTCTCTCTCTCTCTTTTTTTTTTTTTTTTTTTCCAGAAAGCCAGATTTTAAACATCTACGAACACACCCCTGCCTTTTCCCTTATATCAGGAAAGCAAAAGAATGGCTCTGCCCCCGAACTGCAGAAGATTGTGTGTACTATTTCCATGTCTCCCTCTACATTGGGGCTGGGACTCTATACTAAGGCTCCATGCGAGGGGTCCTCAAATATGCTTTGGTCTTGGATAACCTGTTTCCACTTTGAAGACTGGTAGAATGCAAAACCTTTTGAGTCACAACAAATCAGGACCATCACTTGCACATTCTGAAGTTTGACTCCTCTCTTTGATTGTTCTCTTCAGTTTTGAATAATCTCGAGAATTACAGGGCAAAGAAAGCTGGGTCCCGTTTGGGTCCCAGTTGGGTCACTCTCCACTTTGCTCCAGTGTTTATTTAAGCCTGAGATTCATCTTGGAGTGATGAGGATATTGTAAGGAATGGTGCCTCTCAAACTTCCAGCAAGATGCACTTGAACCACCTGGCGATCTTGTTAAAATGCAAATTCTGATTCAGTAGATTTTGTGGCCCCAAATGCCATCTTTCAAATAAGTTCCCAGGTGATAGCGTTGTTGGTTGAAGACCTCAATTGCTGCTTGGAATAGCAAGATACAGAATATCTTTGAATATGAAGTCATTACTTCAAATGATAGCAAGTAAAAAGGAACAATGGAAGGAAGGAGAAATAAATGAGGAGGAAAATGACAGGGAAGAATTAAGATTAAATTTATTAGGCAATAAGTATAAAGGGAAAGGAACACTGGTCTCTTTTTATCAATATGTTCGCAGTCTATTGATTACCTTTAAGAAGCTTTGGTGGTGCAGTGGTTAGGCTTAACCACTTAACCATTCAGATGCTAACCAAAATGTTGGTGGTTCAAACCCACCAATCTCTCTGCAGGAGAAATATGGGACAATTTGATTCCATAAGGATTTACAAACTTGGAAATCCTATGGTTGTTATGAGTCAGAATTGACTTGATGGCAGTGGGTTTGGTTTTTCTTTCTTTTTTTTTTTTTTCCTTTTTGGTTAGTAATTACTCTGGTGCATAAAAAATTACAACTGGAAACTCCAGTCCCACACCAGGTACACATAAACGAGCCTCTGTCTGGTTGAGAAGGGTTTGTGAGTTATGGGTCAGGCAGAAGGAAGAAAGGAAATCCTTACTTGTCATCTTTGAGTCTTTCAAGTCAATGTTTTCCCTTTCCCTCTGCTT